TGATCATTCTATGGAAAGTCTGGAAGCTTAGTGTTTCTGATTTGTATATTTTCTGCATGGATTTTGTAGTAGTATAAAAGCAATCATTAAGGCTGGGGAATTAGTTAAGCAACATAAGCACCTCCCTGGCATCATGAGATTGTGAGTTCGATTCCCAGTACATAAAAAAAAAGTGTTCATCGTTTTAATTTTTGTTAGTCCATGTTTACGGCACATAATCTCACTCATTGTGAGTCTGTTGGTTACTTTTCTTTCTTTCTTTTTTTTTTTTTTAATTTTATTTAAGGAGAAAAGAAAAAAAAGCAGGGAAAGGGTACAAGTTATACAGATTTACAGAAAAAAAATGAACAGTAGGAAATCACTAGTTAATGGATTACATATTGTCATCTTAGAAATAATTGTTCAAGTCACAAAATTGAAGCTTGTAAAGTGGACATTCCATCAATGATACTGCAAACAGTTCCGTTCATTGATCCAATAAAACTCTGTGATATCATTTTCTATCCTTTACACTTAAATATACATGCAGTTATATAGTTTGGAGCACTTTCTTTTCCTCTCTTTTGTATCATGACTATTACACATTTTGGGTTTCATTGCTCCCACGGTTCTTATTATTTTTTGGAAGAGAGTAAAACCAAATGTGACATAACAGAACAGAATCGGTCAGGTCAAAAGGGTGGACATAATAGATAATGTAAAAACATAATACAAGGTGATCAACAATGGTTACCATAATGCCTCCCGCTATCTCTAATAGAATTGCCTATATCGTTAGTTATAATACAATTGAACAAAACAGTAAAGAATAAAACCGACAAAACCAAAACATTGGAGACATTGTAGGTCTTCAAAAGTAGATAAAAGTCAACAAGAATGGGCGTCATAATGAATCTCATTATCTTTACAGCTGATGCCTAAACTTTCGAACCTGATACTATCCAGCAAAACAGAATAGGGGAACATCAGTTAAAAACCAGATGGTGAGAGTAATACAGGGCTTTAAATCAAGGTAATGAAAAGTCAAAGTGGGTTACTATAATATATCCTGCTATTTTTTTCCTTTAATTAAAAGGATAAAGATAAAAAAGTAAATAATGGAGTGGAGATTGAGATAAAAGAGGGCATAACAATGAAACAGCGCAGATCAAAACATAACCATTTAAGCAGAATAGTGTTTCACCACCAGATAATCCTAACCTAAAAGTAGTTACCATATTGTCTCTTTCTTTGAAATCCTTGAGTACAACTTCGTATACTGTAGCATTAAGTATATCAAAACAATGTAAAACCATTCAAGAGAATGACAGCATTACAGAGTATTTAGAATCGACTAACAGAAAATGAACAATGGTTTCTGTATAATCTCCTTGTCTTTAAAAGGTTTTTGCTTATACTATCGTACATAATAAAATCCAATAAGATACAGCCTATTTAGACCATTGGAGACAGAAGGACAAAAGCTAGATGAGACTTCAAAACAAGATGATACTAAATCAGTATTACCTATTAAGATGTCATTTTCTCCAAAATAGCTGTTCCTATCATCCAATCTTCTCTGTCTCATTTCTGTTGAGCTCTTTTTCTGTCAGTAGCTGTCAGTTTGTCTTCTTCATTTTGTTCTCTGCTCCATTCGTTGTGGCCTCTCTGCTATTATTTCTGAATTCTTTGTATTTTTCTTTTTTTAGAATATCCTGCAATACTCTCTTTAGAGTTGAATTGGTGGTTGCAAATTCCCCCAGTTCCTCTTTATCCTGGAAGCACCTTGTTTTTCCATCAATTTCCAGGGACAGTTGTGCAGGATATCTCAATCTTGGCTGGAGATTATTATCTTTCAAAGCTTGAATTATTTCCCCCCACGCTCTTCGTGATTTGATGGTTTGTGCAGAGAAATCTGCTGTAATTCTGATGGGTGTTCCCTTGTAAGTGGTCTGTTTCTTGTCTCTTACAGCTTTTAATATTCTGTTCTTGTATTGAATTTCTGGAATTTTTATTATTATATGCCTGGGTGTTGCTCTGTTTGGGTTGTAAGTAGCTGGGGTCCTGTATGCCTCATACATCTGAGTATCTTTACCTTTTGCTAAATTAGGAAAATTCTCCTGGATTATTTCTGTGAGTAGCTTTTGTAGTTCACTTGTTTGTGTCCCTACTTCTTCTTTTATGTTCTTAATCCTTAAGTTATGGATCCTCTTATCATCTTCTTGTCTTTGTATTATTGCTGTTTGTTTCTTTGTTATTTTTAAGAAGTTTTTCATTTAATTCTCCCATATTACAAGTCTGCCCTCCAGTTCAGATAGTCTGTCCTTAGTTTCTTTCAAGCTGTTATGCCAGTCTTCGATAGACTTCTTAGTATCTTGGTAGTCCCTTTGAACCTGTTTCACGTATTCTATGCTTTCTCTGTTTTCTCCATCAAACAATTCTCCCCTTTTTTTCTGTTCTTCCATTCCACCACCTGTTTTTTCTTGGGTGGTACTTAGCATTTCTCTAACTATTCTGCCTACTTCTAGCTTCAGGTCGTTGATAACTTCATTCCTGAATTGGTCTATGAGGCTCTCTATATGGTGCCTTATGTGTATTGGTGCGGTGTCTGCTATTGCCTGTTTCTCAGAATTGGGGGCCGAGGAGCCTTTCTTGTTGGTGCCTTTTCCCATGCTGCCTCTTCTTCTCTGTTCCTTATATATGCAAGCTTATATAAGAGGCCCAGCTTCTCTCCCAGTCAGCCACAGCCTGATTGAATTGCGCCAGTTAGGTGTTCCCGCTCACCGCTGTGCACCAGGGAGTTACGGACCAGGCAGCCTATGCGTCTCCCCTCCCGGCCACCGTCAGGCTCTGGGATCTGGGTTGGGACAGCCTACCAGGTCTGCCGGCAGCGTCACGCAGGCCAGGCACTTTTCACCAATCCCACCCGAGAGGGGGTTGTGTGGCTGGAGTCGCCACAGCGCCCTGCTCCCGCAGGACTGCTCAGGCCCAGAAAGTCCTCTGCTGGAGTCAAACTGTGGTAGAGTGTCAGTTTCTCTCACTCACCTCACCACAAGTCAGTGCACACCTCCCTGCCATTCGCAGATTGCCGTTCTCAGAGCTTCTGCGTGTCTCTCTCCTTGCTGAGCCGCTGTGGAGGCAGCCAGCTGCCGCGCGGCGGGAAACCCAAATCGCGGCTTATAATGGTGCGGGGTCCAGCCTCCACACCAAGGCTTTTCTCTTCATGTTTTAGCACCAGGACTGCATTCCAGGTTGGTTTCTCTCAGCCCAGTTGGTTCCTGAGTCAGCAGAACATATCTCCACCTGCTTATGTCTCCTTAGTCCGCACCATTCCTGGCTTCTGAGCCGAGTCTTTCAGAGAGCCTCCGGTAGTTGCTGTTATCTGTCCGCCATGTTCTCCCGGAAGTCTACTTTTCTTTCTTTGCTGACACATAATATGTGATACCTTAAGGAAGGAAAAGTTTATTTAGCTCACAGTTTGTAGAAGTTTCAGTCCATATTCTGCTGGCCCAAGGCAGAATGGCACATGCCAGAGGGGCAACAGTACATGGTGTGGAAAAAGCAACAATAAGCATAGTAAGAAAGGAGGAGTGTGTGGAGAGAAGAGTCTTTCTGTCCAATATATTGTATGTTGGCCACATTCACTTAGGTGTAGCACACACACCTGTAATTCCAGCTTTGGATCATAAATCAGTCACAAACTCTAGAAGCCCACCTTCATGACTGCGTGAGGCTTTGGGGGGACATTCACACACAAACCATAACAGTGGGGGACTTGGTATATGTCCATTACACGTCTTTATTCTTTTTTTTTTTTAATTCTCTTCTCTTTCCCTCCTTCCCTCTCCCTCATTCCTCTCTACCTCCTTATCCCTTTTGACAAAGATCTATTTACCTGTTTTCTATTATTTTTTTATTTTTCTCTTTAATTGAAAGCAGTCATTGTCGATGCCATTGCCTCCTTGCCAGGGAGCTGTGGTCGTGTCTGTCAAAGTAGTACATAAATATCGTAGAGTTCATGTGTTTTTAGTGATGAGCAGGACTAATCTTTGGTGCCATACCCTCATTTCTCACATGAATTTAGACACCATTGAGTAGAAAATGCTTCATTAAAATTGGTTCATTAACCAGACCTTGTTGTGTACAGCATCATATCAGATCTATGTAATTACTAGGAAGTAAGCTGGGAGACCTTAAAACCAGATGGATGAAGATTATGGAAGGACTCCCTGGGATGCTTCCTTCTGGTATAAGAGCTTCCTGTCCATGACATGGTCCATGATTTATTCATCATTATTACTAAGGTACTTGTTAGAAGTACAGACAAATCTCAGACCTAGCCAGAGTCATTTTGTCAAAGAGTCTGGTGTAACAAGATCTCCTTGTGAGTCCTGCATATTAAAGATGGAGATGCAGGGGCTGGGGATTTAGCTCAGTGGCATAAGCGCTTGCCTTGCTAGCAGGCAATCGTGGGTTCAATCCCTGGTACCGATTTAAAAAAAAAAGATGGAAATGCATAGTTCTAAGAGTGTTATAGAATTTCATCAAGATAACTACTCTCATTGTTCGTAATTTGCACAAGCAGTAAACAATTCTGGAGCTTTGAAGGCATAGGCTGGTGGCTCAGGAAGGAAGCTGGAAAGGAGATAAGGGTGGATATATGCTTGGCTTTAAGCAGCACTTGGAGAAATCATATTGGCTCTCTGAACTGCAATGCCTCTAGGAGTGTGAGGAAGAGAGGCCAACCTGAGCCAGTGTCCATATCCAAAAGGACCTGGAGCCTGTGGGTTATGGGTAGGGGACTCTGGGAGTTTATACTCCATGACGATGCTTTAGTTCCAGAGGACACTGAGTGTGGTTCTGAAGCAGTCTTCCCAGAAAGTCAGGTTGCCTAATCTCAGTAGCCCCATTCAGCTGTTGTTAGTGGAAGTGCAGGTGTAAGTACAATGTCACAGTCCCAAAACAGCAGGTGGTGGGGAGAGGAGGGCAGCCTTCCGGGCTGGAGGCCTGGGATGTGCATAATGGGTCCAGCATCCATACACTGCCTTAGTGAGGAGGTGACCGTGAGGGGAAAAGCTGCTTTCTGCCTGTATTTCTTGGGCCTAAGCTTTGGGCTTGGCCTAGGTGCTTGGTGTAGGTTGCAGATTCCCACAGTTTGCTCCACTTGCTATAAGTAGATTTGTCTCCATCCTGTGCTGGGTGGGATAAAGAAGTGAACCTTGCTGAACCTCGCAGCTCGGCTGGGAAAGGAGACGAGAAAAGGACCAGACAGCTCAGTTTCCCATGGCACTTTACATCCTGAATGTTTTCACCCCCTCCCAGTACTCTTCCCTAGAATGCACATCCGTCTCCATTCTGCTTTGTTGGAGACAGGTGAACATGCACTCAGCATTCACACCCCTCTTTCTCATTTGTGGTGTGAATTATCTGTGGCTGTTATTTTGTCCTGGACAAGTACTAAGTACTTTAGCCCTTCTAAAATCATGTTTTAAACATTTTACTTCCAGCTAGTTGGTCACCTCATTGAAGGCAAGAGCCAGGCTGAAGGTGCAGCCCCTTTATGTTCCAGGCTGTGGGCAGTGTCCTCCCTGGGTCAGCTGCCAGACAGTGAGTGTCTGATGACAACAAAGCCCGTCTGTCATTTCATTTCACTCTCATGAGTGAGCGCAGTTGAGTCTTCTCCCAAAAGATCTCTTGAATCCATTCTCTGCTTTCTACCTCTGCAGCCGACATCCTAATCCATTATCAGCTTTTCTCTGGAATTCCCTTGGCAAGAGTTGCCCGTGTGGTCTCGCTGCCTCTGCATCCGCAGCCCACCCAGCCCATTCTCTGTACGAACTACCAGGAGGATCTTAACAATGTAGAGATCATACCATGGTATTCCCTGCCTGAAAACCCTTGATGCCCTTCCTTGGCACTTAGAGTTAAGGCCGTTCCCCCTGCTCCTTGAGCCTGCTAGAGCCTATCTCTGGGCCTTTGCACTTGCAGTGCTTTCTCTGGAATGTGCTTGTAGCTTGTGCCAGGCTGCCTCTATGCACACAGTGCCTCCTCACCCCCGCCTGGAGCCCCTCCAGCCTGCATGTACCTTCCATGCCACCCTGCTCATGTCTTTCCTGGAACTCTGTCCACATTGTCATCTTTCACCACTCCTGTCTCTTCTTTACTTATCTATCATTTATTTTCTTCCTTCCTTCTTTTCTTTCTTTCTTCCTTTTTTCTTTGATACTGAGAGTTGAACCTAGCACCTTTGCACTGTGCTACATTCCTGAACCCAAGCAAGGGAGATTTGAATTACCCTATAAACCCTGGTCTTGTCATTGTTTATAGGTCACCTGCTGATGTCTCAGAACCCAACTCCCTCTTCCCCCAATACCTTATAGATTTGTTACTGTTTCTTTGATTAAACCAAACTTGATCAGAATCCTGTCTTGTTTCCAGTCTTCGTGTCTCTTGTCTCTTCTCATCCCCACTCCCCCTCTAGTGTCTACCTTGCCTTACCTGTGGGCCGGGACAAGTGGTACCCAACGTGGGGCACAAAACTGGGGGACTCTGTGAGTGACGCTATTCGTGTGCCCAAAGTAGAAAAAGGAAAAGGAAATAGAGGAGCTGACAACGTGGGGACCTCCCATGCCGCGCTGATCCTTGGTAAGAGCATAGCAGTGTGGGACAAGAAATTAGCCAATATGAGATTTTTGTTGAAAATGTAGTAAAAGCTTTAAAGGCGTGAGGAGTCAAGGTGAATATTGAGCAATTATGCCTATACTTTGATTTTATAAAAGAGGTTTGCCCTTGGTTTCTTACTCAAGGCACTATCAATCCCAAACAGTGGAAATGGGTTGGCACAGTGCTTATAGATTATTGCCACCTCTTTGGACCTGAAAAGGTCCTGGTAATGGCCTTTAAGTCAGGACATGGGTCTAATTCATCCTTATTATTGAGGGTTATAGGAGGCTTGGGGAGACTTAACCATTTTTGTGTATTGCTTCCTCCCACTTGGGAGCAGTGTCGAAGGTATGCCATCTTATCATTGCAATTTGTCATTCTAGTGTAAGAGGTGGGCTTAGTTTTAACTATACTTCCCTTTCAATCACATGGGGAACCGAACAGAGTGGCACTCAGAGCCCTTGCATAGTGAGGGGGTCCTAAGCCTCCCTTTTCTGGCAGCGGTAGAATCATCATAATCCCAAGGAACAGGATCCAGGCTGTCGGTTCCATCTTCTGAAAAACAAGAGCTGGGAAAAATCTCTCAGGGAGGTAAAATAATGGTTTGAGATTTTTATCAAATATGTATTATATTTGTGGGAAGGTTACATAATGTTTGAGATTTTTATCAAATGTGTATTATATTTGTGGGAAGGAAAAATCTCTCAGGGGTCATTTTTGTCCCTGGAGTTGTCTGTAACATTATCCTCTATTTGTTGCATTTGATCTACTTGTTTAACCAATTGTTCTGGTAGCCATTTCACAGATTTCATCTCTTTAGAGTAAAAGCATACTGATCCTCATCCCCAGATAAGGAGCAGCTTATAGGTTTCAGAGATTCCCCCTACTTCCAGGGAAGTTCACCTAATGATACCTCTGACATTGATGTTGGGTTTGTCACCCTCAATAACTGCAATTCTATAATTAGTTGGACCATTGCTTGGACTATTGATTTTACTTTCATTGGGCCTTTTTTTTTTAATAAATTGATGGCTTTTGTCAAACAACAGGTGGGTGCCATAAAAATGCAACCTATACAGGTCCATTACCACAGGCTTAAAATGGCTGATAGAGAAAATTATGGGGAGCCTGCAAAACTGTGTTATGATAATGCTTTGTGAAAGCATGCTGCCCACTCCATTTCTCTTGCCTTGGTGCGGTAGACTGGATAGCCAGAGACGGGCAACTGGGCCTCACACGGGACGCCAACCACCACCTAAGACAGGAACTGGGCCTCTTGCTGCCCTGCCTTCCAATAATGGGTAAGGCTTGGTTGGCCCCCCTGTGGAAGCGCCCTGACCCAAGACAGGCACAGTCTCCTCAAGGATGCAGCCTCTTATATTTTAAAGTAAAGGCGGATCTGTGGAAAGCCCTGTAATTGGCTGCTGCCTTATATCTACAAGCAGCAGCCACCTTAACCTCCTCCAGGAGTTAAGTTTCCATTTGGTAGTTAAGTTTCTCTCCTTGCCTAGCCTGTATGGCCCACTTAGAGATTGTGCTAATCAGCCCACCTTATGAACCCGAGCACGGGAGATTTGAATTACCTTATAATCCCTGGTCTTGCCACTGTGTATAGGTCACCTGCTGATGTCTCAGAGCCCAACTCCCTCTTTCTCCAATACCCTACATATTCGTTACTATTTCTTTGAATAAACGAGATTTGATCAGAATCCTGTCTTGTTTCCAATCTTCGTGTCTCTTATCTCTTCTCATCCCCACTCCCCCTCTAGTGTCTACCTTAACTCACCCACAGGCTGGGACAAGACAGGGTCTCACTAAGTTGTTCAAGCTGGGCTTGAATTTGTGATTGATCTTGCTTCGCAGAGTGCTGGAATTACAGGCGTGTGTCACCATGTCTGGCTTGAACTAGTTGTGTTTCATATTTATTTATTTAATTTAGTTATTTTGTCCAGATTTCCAGAAAAGTTAAAAAATGGTTTCTGTTTTATTTATTACTCAGTTTCCCTAATCTTAATCTCTTATACAATTATATTATGTCATTATTAAAACTAGGAAACAAAGATTGATATTGATCCGTATGGTCAACTGAAGGCAATATCAGTTTTCCCAGTTTTCCCTCCTGAGGTTGCCTTTTCCCTAACTCAGTCTTTTTCACGATCTTCCTACTTTGGAGGAATAGCGATCAATTGTCTCATGGAACATGTCTCAGTTTGTGTTTGTCAGAGGAATTCTCATACTTGGACATGCCATGTGTTAGTGAGGATAGCACCAAAGTGGTAATGTGTTCTTATGCTGTTTTATTACTGATGACCTTGACCTCAATCATTTGATCTATATCATTTCTTTGCTGTAAAGTTACCTCTATTTTTCTTTGTCACTAATAAGTGCCTTAGGGAAGGAACTTTGAGCTAATGTACATCCTATTTCTCCTTAAATGTTAGCCATTCATTTTAGTGATTATCAATAAATCTCATCTACAGCAGCCTAGATTCCGGTATTTATTTTAAAGCATATTTATTGTGTCATTCAGGTTTTTCCATCTTTGGATTATGTCAGACTTTGGGTTGCGCTGCCCTTCCTTTATCAAGTTCACACCTTTATTGAGCTCTCTCTTACTCTCTGGAACCACAAGATGCTCCTGATTTAACTTGAATGTGTTCTCATTTCTCATAGATTGGTTCAGTGAGTAAGAACTACCGATCTGTGATGTGAGCATATATGGAGGAGATGCACCAGGTTGCAAGTAAGGATGGTGTGTGCGTGTGGGGGGCTGTGTGGTCAGGGGCCAAAGTAAGATTCTTTGGAAAGTCCGTTACTGGTTCTTTGATGCTGGTGATTGAAAATCACTATAACCATGAGAGCCACATGATTGCCTGTTCCTGACAGACTTTGTAATAACAAGGTGATGCGTTTTATCAGAGGCCGCATTTCAGTTGAAAGTGGTACATGTAACTTATGGGGTTGGCTTGTGAATCACTGATCTACAACAAAGAGATTGGAATTAAAGAATTTTATTTTATTTGGTTCTGGGGGTTGAATTCATGACCTCAAGCTTGTCAGGCAGGTGCTTACACCACTGAGCTAAATCCCTGGTCTGAAATAGGCATTTAAAAAACCATCTAGTGATCCATAGTCTCAGCACTTGGGAGATTGAGGCAGGGAGGATTGCCATGAGGTAAAATTGGGCTACATAGTAAGCTCATGGACAACCTGAACTATGGAGTGAGACCCTGTCTCAAAGAAAGAAAGAAAAGAAACTATCACAACAGAATCATCTGGAGAGTGGCATGGCAGAGGGGAAAACAAACAAAAAACATGTAGAATGAAAATAATCTTTGAAAGAATCAAGGGTAGAAGCAACAGATTCTGGTAGATACTACAATAATGAGTCTGCAAGTTTCATTGTTCACTTAAAATGTTCTGTTTTGTCTTGCTAGTTGCTGCAAAAGATCGAGCCAGTGGCCACCAATTCAACAGCCAGGTACCAGGAGCTGCCTTTTGTTTTCTTGTGGTTTTTTTTTTTTTTTTTTTTTTTTTTGGTATGGCTAAGTGTTTGGCACCTGTGTAGTGTGGCTCTGCAGTTACTGGCATAGCAGAAGTCTTTTCTTTCTAGATAGACAGGCACCTACTTGAGGTGGCAGGGATCATCCTCAATTTCCTGGTGCCCTTTCAGTGTCTAACATTGACAAAGATCTGCTGGATAAATAATCATCTGAGTTTTCAGTTTTGGTGTTTTAGTCACAAAAACTCATGAATTCTGCTCAGCTATAACTACTTACACTCTAATTAGAATGGGGAGATGACTCATAGGATTTCTTCCCTCACTGGATTCTTGGTCCAAACTCGATAATAAATAAGGAATAAAACCTTGTCTCTGGTCAGTAAAGCATTTCTTTTTCCTTCTGAACAGCGGATGATGGCACGTGGAGACAGAAGGATGGTGGGAAAGTGCAGGTAACATTTTATATTGGCCTTTTTTTTTTGAATCAGGAATCAAACTTGAGACCTCATGCTTGCCAGACAAGTACTATGCCGCTGAGCTCTATCCTCCACCCTGTATTGGGCTTTGCTTTCTTTGTGGTTTTCATTCAGTTCTGGGGATGAAACCCAGGGCCACGTGCATGCTAAGCACATGCTCTGCCATTCAGCTACAGCTCTAGCCTGGGCTTTGCCATTAATACATTGTTTCCTAAACTTCAGTTGTTGCAATATGAACTTCAGAATTACTGAAAACTCTCTCTGTCTCTCTCTCTCTGTTTCTGTCTCTGTCTCTGTCTCTGTGTCTCTCTCCCTTGTTCCCCTGTGCAGTTCAGGCTGGCCTTGAACCCTCAGTGATCCTCCTTTCTCAGCCTCCTGAGTGCTGGGTTTATAGCATGCACAAACATTCCTGGACACCCCGGGCATCTCCTTTGTCGTTTCTTTCTTTTTTTTTTTTTTTTCCAGTGTGGTCTTTGAGATAAGTTTTCACTGGCCTCAAATTTGTAGTGACCCTCCTGCCTCAGCCACTGGGTGCAGGAGTTACAGGCATGCACCACCATACTCCACTTCCTTTTTTTCTGAAGTGTCCTCCTTTTTCCCTATTGTCTTCCTAAATTATAATTCATGAAACTCATGAGTACACTCTTCTATATTTCTAATGCACATTAAAAATGAAATCAGAACCATCAAAATAATGGTGGTCTACAGATCAGCATGTGAAATGCTCACACTGTCTGCCCTGTGGGAAATTCTCTGAGAGGGAGGCCAGGAACTGGTGGGTGAGTGAATGGCGGTCATGTGATTTACATCTTGATGTATTCATGTGCTCTAAGAACACATCTGAGTATTTTTTGTTAAAACCTGCTTTTGTTTCTTCAATAGGTCTCCATTTTGTCAGTGATGGAGCTAATTTGGAACCTGTATGAGATCCTTTTTGTTGAAGTTCTCCCGGTAAGCCTGGGATAATCTCATCATAATATGTAAGGAGTCTTTGCCGTCCTCTGCTGTTTCTTTGTATTTCCTGTGCCAACAATGTTGTCTCCAGTGCTTGCTTTCCTTTTTTTCTTTTTTCTTTCTTTTTTCCTTTCTTTCTTCTCTTCCTTCCCTTCTTTTCCTCCTTTTTCTTGGTTTTTCTGAGATGGAGTTTTACTGTGCAGTTCAGACTGGCGTTAAACTCACTCTGTGACCCAGGCTGCTCTCAAACTTCCACTGATCCCATCCACCCGCAGCCTTCAAGGTGCTGGGCTTGTGGTTGTGTACCACCGTGCTCAACCTTCTAGTTCTTTTCCACATACTGTCTGAAATCATTACAAGACACCCAAAGCAATGTGACATTTTGTTAGAGACTGTAAAAAGAATCATACATATTTTTCCTAGGAACCTAAACATTAAGGAGATGAACTTTTTTTAAAAATGAACTTTGAAAAGCAGTGAGAAATCAAGTTTCATCTCGAAAGTGGTAGTATTGATATTGTAGAGCAGCTAAGCTGAAAGTTGTATGCATGTGGGGAGGAATAAGAAGATGGGTGTAGAAGACACTTTGAGAATTCTGCAGCTAACAATTGGGTGGGGCAACCGTGTGTTTTAAGCCTGTGTAATCAATCTTGAATTATAGTATGGTCCATACAGTATCATGGTTTGAGTGTACTCTTTATGGAGGTACATCTGGGTTTTTTGCTTTTTGTTTTGTTTATTGTCTTTTTTGAGATGGGATTTGGTTTTTGTTTGTTTTTTAGTGATACTCTGCATTGAACCAGGGGCTTTCCACTGAGCTATATCCCCAGCTATGCCTATTTTAAAATTTTGTTTTTTTAGTAACTGTTTCAAGGGCATGACATTCATGTTCACCTTAAGGAGTAGGTACATTTATACAACATGCTTTAATTTTTTGTGTGTTGGTTTAAATTATTGTTTCTCTTTTTTGAGACAGGGTCTCCCTATACAATCAAAACTGACCGTCATCTTACTTTGTAAGCCAGGGTGTTCTTCATTTTTATTCTTTTTAAAATTTACTAATATAGGTATTTTTGATGCTGGGAATTGAACTCAGGATCTCGCACTTGCCAGGCAGGTGCTGTGCCTCTGAGTTATATCCCTGATTCTTAGTTTTAACTGTTTAGACAGAGTTTCACTGTGTTGCACAGGCAGTGCTTGAACCTGAGATCCCTTGCCTTTGCTTCCCAGGGTGCTAGCTTTTTTAAAAATCTATTTTATTCATAGATGGAAAAAGAAGAAAAGTACAAAATTTCAAGATAATGTCAATCGGGGGCAGCAATGGTACATACATCGTGCATTGTCATCCCCAAATCATTCACCCAGAGCACAAGACATGTGCATTCAATTTTCCAGCACCAGCACAAAGCTTTCTCTTCAGCAAACTTGGAGAAATCCATAGCATAACTATATCAACTGTTTTTTTTATATACATACACATATATGTTTTTTCTTTCAGCCTGTCACACTAATGAAGCTATGTTTACACACGTGTGTTTTATTTATTTCACTAATGAGTGTGTTCTCAGATTGCATCCATTTACCTATAAGTGTCCATTTTATTCTTTATGGCTGAGTAGTACTCCATTGTAGAAAAATACCACATCTTTTTTACCTTCCTCAGGGGATAGGCATCTAGATTGTTTCACAGATCTGGCTATTACCATCTGTGCTGCTGTAAAATGGGTGGGAAGAGAGGTTTCATGGGGGCAGAGGCCATGCAGAGAAGCTTCCATGCAATGCTGCATTGAAAGCCTCCCATGGAGCCATTGCTGACACTGACCAGACCCTGCCAGGCCACGGGTTGGCATGGCGTGCTGAGTCCCAGATGCGGGGACCATTTTCCCTCCACTGCATTCCTGTGGAGTTAGCTACACAGAGGTTTAGCAACTCATAACCCAAAGTCATAGACCTGAAAGGAGGCACAGAAAGGATTTAAATTCAGGCTTGACACAAACCCACGGTCTTAGCTACCACTCATAGAGTAGTCACTTCAAGGGAATTGTCTTTCTTTTTTCTTTAGTTCAAGGTGGATGTTGGTAGCAGAATGTAGGTCCTTTGGCATAGTCTCCTGGAAATAAAGCTGGTAGCTCTTCAAGAGGAGGCTAAGCCCACGCTGGAATTTCCATCAACTGTCAACTCTCTGTAACAACTTTTAAGAAAAAATAGATAGGGCCAGGAATGTAGCAGTGGTATAAGCACCTGCCTGGCAAGCACAAGGTCATGAGCTTGATCCCTAGTACCAAAAAAAAAAAAAAAAGCAAGTAGGTAGTTTATTCTTCTGTGGTGGACTGAAAACTATGGTCAATTTAAACACCAACTGAACTGAATCCGCATGGTGCTGAGTGTAGAGGGTCTACCTGAGGCCTTTTGCCAGCATAAAAGGAAAAGGTGGAGAAGACAGTAGCAGTGTGGGTTCTCCTAAGTGTTGTGGATTGGAGCTCTTGGTTTTCTTGGAGCTGTTGGTTCTCCTGGAGGAGTTTGTCATGCTGGCTTCCCTGATATGAACCTTGCTGTTATCAGAGGAGCTCAGGACCTTGTCACTGAGAATGGCTGCAGTTCACTTCGGGCGAGCCCCCGTCCTTACTTTGTACATCACTTCTTGACCCTGGGGAGGGGGAGATATGTGCTCTTCAGTCTCCAGAAGAAGCTCATCATGCTGCTTTCCTGATAGGAGCTCAGCTGAGAGGAGCTCGGGACCTCGTTGTCACTGAGATATGCTTTTTGGTGGAGGCTGGGTCCTTACTTTGAGTGCTGCTTCCTGGCTCCAGTACAGACCCTCAACCGAATGGCACTGATCTTTGTCCTGCTTGCACAGACTTTGTGGCTTCCATCAGTGACCTTTGGGCCTTCCCGCCCAGATCCATGCAACAGACTTGCATGAGTCATTGTTGTGGGCTCTAGGTCTCCAACTGGCCTCATAAGGGGCATTGACATGGGCTCTAGGTTTTCAGCTGAACCCATGAAGGTGACTGCCATGCGATCCAGGCTTTTGGCTGCATTTGCTAGGTCTCAGTGTGTGGAGAGATCTCCTGCGTTTTCTTTGTATTTGACTCCCTGAGTGGCCATTATAAATAGCACTTTAAGTCACGTGTCTTGTGTATAATTGTTCTCCTTGTGACCTCTCATAATATGCTATGGTATCCCTCATAGTAACTCAGAACTCCTTAGACCCGGAGTGCTGTGGCACTGGTTTGCTTTAAGGAAAGCAGTGTTGTCTGCAAGGTTCGCAGGCTGGGTTGTGTCAATAAAAGTTTGCAGGGCTTTCTCTGAAATTTTGCTCACAGAAGCTGGAGACATTTTGGTTCTTGGAGAACAGAAAATTGCCCCTTGCTTCTAACATGAGGCATCTCCTTGTCCGGTGGTCCCTAGCATAGATTTGAACTCACCTTGAACACACATAATGGCTTACTGTTCAATCATTAGAACATTTTTGTTTCCAAATTCCTGTCATTGATCCTTGGTTCCTGTTTCTAAGATCACAAAATTCATTGAAAGAAATGTAGGAAGTAGATATTTCATACATATTTTAAAACAAATAATTAGGTTAAAACTGAAGTATGAGAGGAGGGCATTTCTAGGAAAGTGTTTTCTTTTTTCTGCTTTTCAAAATCAAAGGATTGTCTCATTGTTGGGTGCCACCACGGTTATGAAGAAGGTTCTATTACAAGAAAAGTTCTGAGTTATTGCTTGTTCACTTTGAAAAAGTGATAAAATAGCAGTGGAATACAGGGAGGAGAGGCTGATGCCAGAAGTGGGGAGGACCTTCAGGATTTAATTCAAGTATGAGGACATGAAAGCATGAGGACAGAATGACGGTGGGGCCCTGATTGAACAACCAGCAGTACTGGATAAGTACCAGAAGGGCTGGGGGCAGCCTCGTCGTGGTGCACTTGCTTGCATGTGAGACGTCTGGGTTCAGTGCGCAATATAGCAAGGAATAAAACAGCACTATCACAAAAAGCCCAGCAGGCTTTGGAAGACTGCAGATATGGCTCAGGAAAGCATGAAACTGGAGACTGCTTCTGATACAGGGAGTTTCTGGTGCTGGCCCTGACTCCTTGTTTGAAGTTTGGCCTCTCAGATACTTCTGCAGTTGTGCACCTGAGTGAGCAGCTAGGCTCCCTGTAAAGGGCTTAGGAAAGTCAGCTGCTTAAACACAGGCCCCGTAAGAGCCCCTCTCAAACAGGATTTCTGGGATCAGTGTAACTATAATTGTGCTACAGCTTGGAACACTCTCCTGTCTTCCCAATATAACATATTACCTAGGTGTCAGCATCACCTGAGTGAGTAGAATATTTTGCCAGAGAATCTTTCTGTGACTCAGTTGTACAAAACCTTTAACCAAGGATTAGTTTTCCAATTTTAGTAATTTCTAAAAGAAAATTGTCACTATTTACTATACTTAAGAAATTTAGAAAGGAAGAGGCAAAAACCTGTTCCATGGCAGTGTGACTTAATTTGGGAATTTTTGACTGAAAAGTTGTGAAGTCTTTGAAAAGGTAGAGAACATAGTTGTCTTGTAGAAAAGTACCTGAAGTTTTTTCCTTGTTAAAGAAAGATTATAGTTGAATTTAAACAAAAAGTCGAGGAAGCTTTAAACTTTAAGGCATGTAGCTTCTTGTAAAATGTGAGATGAGCAAGTTAGTATTGATTTTCAAAATCAGATTTTAACACCAAATCCCCCTAAATGAGGTGACTTTTGGAATCAGTTCTATTTTAAAACCATTACTATGTGCAGGCCAGGAGAGGTAAGAGGATGAATCGAGCCTCTTCTTGAGTTTCCCATGCCTGGGTTGTGTCAGGTAAAAGTCAAGCAATAAATGGTTGAAGAAGGGCTGTGAAAGAAGTTGGTTTATAGCAGTGTTTCAAGAGAACTATTTAACTTGAGGATTTTAACATTAAAAGAGTCTTCCCATGTGTGGTGTGAAAAAGGGCACTGTCACATCTGGATGGAAGTGTTGAGGCCTGGTAGGGCAGGGAGAGTTCTCACATGCTAATGGAAAGCACTGACTCAAATCCTTCCTCTCAGATCCAACTGCTCACCTCCAAAAGCCTTCCTGCAAGCACTACGCATCATCACAGAGTATATGCAGCCCCAGCCTAACAGGGAAATGAATCACCAAACATGGAACTGGATAGAGAATAGAGCAAATGACAACTCTGTGGAATAAACCACCATATTGTGTATTCTCCTGTCTGCTGCCCTAACTAGTCCTCATTCTGGAGGTCAGCTGGATTTCCTAGAACCTGCATCCCCAAAGGAGGAAGGATTTCTCCTAGATTGTGGCTTGGAGCAAGAAAAACTTAAGTTGCTGGACTGGGTTACTACTTCTGAGTGTACAGAGGCCCAGCCCTGTGACCTCCATGGAGCTCTGTCCTGCCCCACTCAAGGGGCTGCTGAAGACAGGACTACCCAAGTCTGAGGCCCAAATCCTGCCTCGATATGGGGAGTAGCCCTGCGGGACACTGATGTCACCTGCGGGACACTGATGTCACCTCTGCTGGAGGCAGGAAGTTGGGCCTGGCCAGTGTAGCAAAAGGCTCACTGAGGCCATGGTAAGCCCATCTGGGCCAGAACCTAATTGTTTTTTTTGTGTGTGTGTGTGTGTCTTTTTCCTTTTTATTGGTACCGGGGATTGAACTCACGACTGCCTGCTTGCAAGGCAGGCGCTTATGCCCCTGAGCTAAATCCCCAGCCTGGAGAACCTAATTGTTTCTTAAACAATGATGTCACAAATGGTGGGACAGAACACAATGTACATGGTTACGAAGGCACTGGCAATATAAGTGGCCACCACAAACATTCCAGCAAGTGTTTTTCTGGCACACCACTGGTCTAGGTCTTCATGACCAAGCCTTATCCTATGATGTTTATATTGCCCTTCTGGGCTCCAGGGCTCATGATTTGGCCACAGTTGTGGCTAGTGGTCATGGGAGCCCCACATCCAGAGTGGGCTCAATTGCCAATCCAGTGGGACATTGAGCCAGTAGATCGTAATTTTTTCTTTTTTCCCTACAAGTCCAGTCCTTCACCTAAACCACAACATGCTCTTACAGTTCCAGCAGATCCAGAGCAATTGGATTACCCAGGATCCTCTGCACCGATGAAGAATTTGCTTACACCTAAAGAGTCAACTGGAGAGTCACTGCCAGATCCAGATAAGTTTGCTGTTCTGCATCAGGGTCTGCATGACAAGTTGGTTGGGCCACAGAGGATCCCAGAGGTGCATCCAATGCTAGACAGGCATGAGAATGAAGGCCTAGCTCTGCCTCCTCAACTCCAAAGAAAGATGGGGACTTCTCCTTTAGAGCAGGCTGCAGACCACCAGTCACAAGTACTTGTTCCACCTCTAGCGATTAAGAGCTCAACAGCATCACACTTAGTTTCACCCCTGAAACTGAAGGGTATAGCTCAGCCTTGGCAACTTGCTAAGGAGGTTTTTGGAGCTCCTTATCTATCAGAGTATCCTGAGCATCAGAAACAAACCTTGAAGGACAATACTGTGGATCTAAGTACGGATAAAGCTGATCATGACAGCCTACATTCGGGATATCTGGAGAATCCAGATGAGCGTGCACAGCCCTGTGAGCACAAGGAATCATCACAATACCAGGTGGAGGCCTGGACTAAAAATCTAGAGGCTCCCCAAGTCCAATCCTCTCTACCTCTGGGAAAAGGCCCATGTGAGCATTCACAGCCTGCTGAAGAGGTCTTACCTTCTTTAACCCAGTGGGAGGCCCTACGTCAGCATAAGCTTTTTACTGAGGATGGTTTACATCAGCTGTCAGAGAATCAGGAGTTCGGTGTTCCATCCGCAAGTAGCATGTCAACTCATCTCCTGCATTTGCCCAGTTTCATCTTTAGACCTGTGGATATGGAGGTAGTGGCAACTATGGAAAACGATAAGGAGACTCATCCTTCTCTCAGGCTGCTGCAGTCCCCGGGGCAATCTCTAGAGAATCCTGAAGAGGTGGAAACAACTCTATTCCAACAGAAGATTCTCCATCTACCTCTAGGACCTCCTTTGGCAAAGGAGCCTTCTCCTAGTGAGCAGAAGCATCCAGTTCCATTTTCTGAGGTGACTGAAGAAGTTGAGTACCTAAAGAGCCAGCCTGAGGCCACAGCTCAGCCTATAAAGTCTGTTAATGAAGGCAGACTTCCAGTCCAGGAAGATGCTCAAACTTCAGAGTCCTCTCTAAGGAGTGTGGCTAAAGCTTTGCTGTACCACAAAGTGACATTTCTGTCTCCAGATCACCATTATGACAGGCCTACATTTGGAGTTAAGCCTGCATATGCAGAACTTATTATAACTACAAAGCCTATCAAGGAGGTTGAATCTTCTGTGAGGTTCCATCAAGAGGTCCCAGCTCAGCCTCTAGGTCCTCATGTGGTGCTTGAACCTTCTGCCAGGCAGCATAATCAGCCAGCTCAGCCTTCTAAATATCTTGGAGAGTTTGAACAACTCCAAAGCCAGCTGGAAACCCCAGACCCACATCATGAGGTGAGATTTCAGCCTGTAGATGAGGATGCAGGTCTCCATCATAAGCTGCTCACCCTTAGAGTCGAGCCTCTGGATATGGAAGTTACTACAGTTGCAGAGCCTGTGAAGGTTGAATCTTCCCAGCAAATGGCCCCAGATTTGTCCTCCATGTTGTCTACACTCTTTGAACCTTGGAAAGTTCAGCAAAGTGTTGTAGCTCAGCAGCCGAACTCTTTAATAATTGATTACCATTCTCTGGTGGATCAAGTGATCCCAGTTCACTCCGAAGAGCTTTCTGAACATTCTCTAAGACAGAAGGAGAGCTTATCTCTGTCCTCAAAGCCTGCTGTGAGTGCCACACTTCAAATGATCCAGCAAGAGCTCTCAGCTGAGCCTCTAGGGCCTTGGAGCGAGGGTAGTAGTGTTCTTCCATTGGCAGCTTATATGACATATTCACTTCTAGATACAGGAACAAAGCTCCCAAGTCAGCATTCAGTGTTGTCTAAAGCCACAGTGACACATGTGGATCTGGAGCTTACTACAACCACAAAGCCCACCCTTCAGAGTGAGCCTTCTGTCACCTATCAGGAAGATCGGCTTAAAGTTCCTACTGAACTTTCTCTCGTCCAAATTGGCCCCTCTTTCCAGCATGCAGAGTTCTCTGAAAAATCTAAGTCTTCTCCGGCTCAGCAAGTAGTCAAAGCGCAGACTCTAGATGGTCCAAAAGAGTTAATTTCTGCTGCAACACAGCACGAAGCCCTGCGTCTGCCACTAGAGTTCTCCAAGAAGGCCAAACCTCTGCTTCCCAAGAAATCATCTCCAGTGTGGCAGCCAAACCCCACTCAGGTTCAACAATCTCCTCAGAAATGTATACCTGAGCTCTTAGTGCCACATGAAATGACACTTTCAAGGGCAGGGCAGGACCCTGTTCAGCATCCAACATCATCCAGTGTCATACTTCAAGCACTGACCACAGAGTTTACTGTAAGTCCTAAACCCACTACAGAGAGTAAATATTCTACGACTGTGCAGAGCACTACAACTGTTCCTCAGAAGCACCCTGAGGTGACACCCACACAACCAGACCCAGTGCAACATTGGTATCCAAATCTGACTCCTGTCATGGCTTACTCTGTGCCTCTGGATCATTCCATGGCTTCTCTGGCTACTTTAGAGGATACAGTTTACCCAGTTATAGCAGAGATACCATATCAATCTCAAGAGCCATCTCTGGAGCCTATAGTTCAACATATACTGTCACTTGGGATGACAAGTCCAACCCCAGGTCTGGACCAAGCTCAGCATCCAATATTGCTTGTTCACCCTTTGGATGTAAGCTTTACCATAAGTTCAGGACTTTCTACAGAGGCTGAGCATTCTGTGGCCCTGCAGAAGACTGAAGCTCCTTCACCAAAGCACCCCGAGGTGCCCCTTGCATATTCAGACCAGCTGCAGACTTGGAGCCCAAGCGTAATTCCTGTCATGCTTCAATCTTGGGATGAGGAAAATACCATGAATCCGTATTCTGGAAGTTACTCCCCAGAAAAGGGTTTAACTGTGCAAAAAAACCAGAACACTACCAGAGCAACCAAGACATGTGAGCTCTGCACCTGCAGAAACCATACCCTGTCGTGTGTTGGTCTCAGTCCAATCCAGAAGCTGCACCGAGTTCCTGTACTAGAGCCCGAAATCAAAAACACCTTCACAGTCTTGTAAGAATGAATTTGCTTCATCTGTACTTTACATTCGGCCTGATGTGGCAGCTTTTTTTCAAGGCCTTCGTGGGCAGCCCTCATCTCCCCAGTCCCCACTGACTGACTTTCTTCTGCTTTTACATTTTTTTTTCCAAATTTTCCTTGTTCCACTCTCCTTTGTACTTGTGGTTTCTTTCCCTTTGTCCTTAACCCATTTTTACTTAGTCCACACACCATTGTTTAACCCAGGCTCTCCACCTTTGCTCTGACCCTTTTATAACTCATTTTCTGTCTTTTTTTTTCTTTTTCTTTTTTGTTTGTTTGGTAACAGGGATTGAACTCGCAACCTTGCACTTGCCAGACAGGCGCTTATACCCCAGAGCTAAGTCCCCAGCCCCATACCTCATTTTCTTAGAGACAATATAACAAAGCGAGTATGTGTAGACTCTGGTCCTGGTGTGTAGCTCAGTGGTGGAGTGCTTGTCTTGTACGTGCAGCAGGGTCCAGGTTCAATCTCTTGCACCTCCCCCAAGAACAGATTCTGGAACCAGACTACATGGGTTTTAACATAGACATCTCTTTCATTAGCTTTGTATAGTTATTAGCTTTGTGACTCAGCTTCCTTATCTGAAAAATGGAAATTACAGTATTTACCATTTCACAAGACTGCGAGATTTAGCACCATGGCTATAGATGAATTTTGGCTGTTACTAGTACTATTTAGTACCTGAATTATGTGCAGAAATCATCTTTGTCTGTTGGTTTCTATATGTAGCATCCCGTTATGTCCAGATCAGGAAGTACACTGGAGGACACATAAGAATAACATTTTCTCCAGAACATGAAAAATGATAGGAAGGGGAAAAACATTAAAAGGGACGTGGTGTATATAATAAGGGGTAGAAGAGGATGCAGACCTTAGGAGCTGTGATTGTCCAGAATCTGGAACCACAAGTATGATGCTCAGGGGCACAAGTTCTGTTTGAGGCCATGGTGAGCACAGAGCAATGAGAATGCATCTGGTCACGTGGAAAATGTTCACTAGGCGCATGAGCAGACTGATTGCTTTCCCGCCATCCTCAGGAAAAGTATATGCAAACTGAACAGGAAAGTTGTTGCTGACGGATAAAGAATGAGTTTCCGCAAAATTGGAACTGAACCCTGGTTCGAGGCAGGTTGGCCTCAAGTTCACTGGTATCTTCATGCCTCAGCTTCCTGAGTGCTGTGATCACAGGCATGCTCCCCTACTCCTGACCTAATAACTTCTTGTCAATGCATGATAGACCTCCTTTAAAAAGGAGTCAGAGATGTGTATGGAATAATGTGAGATCCATACCCTTATATGCTTGACCACCTGTCTCCCTCACCCTGTCACACAGGAGATAAGCCCTGGTGCCAGTTTTGTGTGGGTTCCTCCTCCTCCTCTGCAATTTTTGCCCTGACCAGGTGATGGTTTACTCCTTGCCTGCTGGTTCCTGTTCTTCCCTGTGCATCAAGTCCAAGCGGTTTTTCCACATCAGCACGTTAGTTCCTCTATGCTGCTCTTGCCCTTAGCCTTCCACTGCCTGCAGAGCTTCCACAAAGGGTACCGAGCCAAAGCTTTGGCGCCAGCTGGCAGAGGCTTTCTTTATTCTTATTTGTTAATAATGATGCATTTTGGCCCATTTTTTCTTTGGAATTATTTTTCATTTTCTTGTTGGTTTATAGGAGTCACCTTAGACACAGAGATTTGGGGAAAATACGTTAAAAGTGACTGACAGCTGTTTGCAGTCTCTCTGTTTGAATGTCCACTTTGTATTCTTTGATACTGTGATTTGAGCAACTATTTCTAAGATGATAATATGTAATCTATTAACAGGTGATTTCTTACTGGTTTTTTTTTTTTTTTTTTTTTTGTAGTTCTGTATTACGGGTACCCTTACACCGCTTTGTTTTGTTTTGTGTTTTTCTCTTTTTCCTCTTAAATAAAATTTTTAAAAAAAGTGACTGACAGGCATTATTTATCTAGGAGTTTGGATTGATAGGAAGCTCAGCTTTGGAGGAGAAGGCTCATCTTTAGTGCAAGTGGACTTTCATTTTTTTTTTTTTTTATTGTATAAACTAGGAAGCTGTTTGCTCTGGAAATCTAAAAAACTGCTGTCTTCTCTGTTTCCATATCCCCCAGGTTGCCAGGATTCTTTTACTTATTCTGATAATTCTTTTCCCAGTTACTCAAAGATACAAACTATTTCTCCACAGAAATTTCCAAGGAAATGCTATTCATGATCTTCCAAAAAAGACATGGGAGTCATATCATTGGGCTGAGAAACTGTGAGTATATTCCCTCCAAGTATGTCAGATCACTTTAAGATACTTCTTGGTCCTGAATTTTCAGGTGAATACCTCTGAAAAATGATACTTGCCCTCTTATCTCATATTTACTTGATTGAAATTCTGTGAATGTACTGAAAATTGAATTTGTGGGAATTGGAAGTGTAGCTCAGTAGTGAAACACTTGCTTAGATGTGTGAGGCCTTAGGTTCAAACCCCAGCTCTGCAACTTAATTGTTTTTTAGTTTTATTTTTTTAAGTTTCATAGACACTGTTGGAAATTGTATTGTCTCACTAGTGTGAGAAGCTGAAAGAAAGTATACCTAGATAGGTAGATACAATAGTTAAGAAAGTTATCCTACTGATTTCTCTGATCTCACTGAAGAGAAATCTGTGCTACTATTGTTTGGACAACTGAATGCAGATGTCTTGGACTCTGAGTAACATATAATGTATTTTGAGTAACTGATTTGAAGAGAATAATGTGAGACATATATACAACTCTTGGCTTCTCAATGATTGTTTTGAAATTTTATTTCTTCTCTTTAAAATAATACAGATTTGAAAAAATGAATTAATTTAATTGGTACACTTTAAGCATAATAGCCCCAGGGGATTTGTACCTGCGCATAATATATCTTCATTCTTTTTCCCCACCCCTCCTCTCCCGTCAACCTCTCTTCTGTCTTCCTCTCCTAGTCACAAAAGCTTTAGTTCCATTTTTACTTTTCTCTGGTGATGCTGGTACTGAGGAGCAGTCTCACGACCTTGTGCTTGCCAGGCGGGTGCTTGTACCACTGAGCTGCACCCTGGCGCTCCATGTTTGCTTCCATTCCTCTTTGTTTCACTTCCTTCTTCCCCCCCCCTCTATTTGTCATTCCCCTCCCCATTTGAACATTTTCTTCCCACTTCACTATCATGAGTGTACATTTTGATCCTTATTTCCCCTTGCAGCTTCTCACACCTGAGAAACGGTGCAGGGTGTAAACATGTGTGTCCAATATATTTCACTTAAGGCTACGGTCACAAAATGCAACCATGTACCTAGCAATGTCTCGAGGTTCTCCTTCTTTATGGCAGAGTGGTACTCTGCAGTTATACCCACATCTTCTTTATCTGTTCATCCACCGATGAGCATTTGGGCTGTTTCCAAGATTTAGCTGTTACATATTATGATGCTATAAACAGGAGTGTGTGTGTATTACTGTTGCATGGTGCTTTTATTATTCTTTTGGGAAGATATGAAGAAGAATAGCTGGGTCAAATGGAACATCGAGGTTTAGTTTTCTGAAATCTCCATACTGATTTCCACACGATTATATCAGTCTACATTCCATCAACAGTGGAGAAGGGTTTCTATTTCCCTATAGCTCCACCAGCATTTGTTATTGGTTGATTTCTTGATAATAGTTTTTGTGGGATGAGATGGAGTTTCTCTATTGTATTGTATTGTATTGTATTTGTTTCTTTAGTGCTACTGGAATTGAACTCACAACCTTGGGATTGCCAGGCAGGTACTTACAATACTGAGTGAAATCCCCAGCCCTCAGTGTTGTTTTAATTTGCGTCTGTTGAATGACTGGTAATGTTGAACATTTTTTATATTTTCATGTGCTATTTCTGCTTCTTCATCTAAGATCTGTCTTCACCTCAGATACCCATTTTTCATTGGGCCTTTAAATTTGGCGCAGGGGGCCGAGGATAGCTCAAGCGCCTACCTGGCAAGCGTGCAGTCATGAGTTCCATCCCTGGTACCAAACCAAAAAAAAAAAAAAAAAAAAAATTTGAGGGTCTGATTTTTTTTTTTGAGTGCTTTATATAGTCTAGATATTACTCTTTTGTTTGAGGAACAGCTGGTAAAATTGTTTTTCCTACTCTTTGGGGCACTCTCTCTGTGGTTTCTTTTGTTGTATAAAAGCTTTGTTTGTTTGTTTTTAAGGTAGGGACTTGCTAGGTGGTGCAGGCTGGCCTTGGATTCAT